CATCCAGGCCGAGAGCGGACTACGGACAGAAAGAGATAGAGAGAGAGAGAGAGGAAGAGCACAGAGCCACCCACCTACCCACCCGTCCAGGCCGAGAGCGAACTACGGGGAGAAAGAGAGATAGATAGAGAGAGAGAAAGAGAGAGAGGAAGAGCACAGAACCACCCACCCACCCACCCGTCCAGGCCAAGAGCGGACTACGGACAGAAAGAGATAGAGAGAGAAAGAGAGAGAGGAAGAGCACAGAGCCACCCACCTACCCACCCGTCCAGGCCAAGAGCGGACTACGGGGAGAAAGAGAGATAGAGAGAGAGAGAAAGAGAGAGAGAAAGAGGAAGAGTACAGAGCCACCCACCTATCCACCCGTCCAGGTCAAGGGCGAACAACAGGGAGAATGTGAGAGAGGGAGAGACAGGAAAAGCACAGAGCCACCCACCTACCCACCCGTCCAGGTCGAGGACGAACAACAGGGAAAATGTGAGAGAGAGAGAAAGACAGAGAAAGAGAGAGAAAGACAGAGAAAGAGAGAAAAAGAGAGAGAGGAAGAGTACAGAAGTAAGAATATAATAACGTTTATTATATTTATTAATTCTTTATTTACATTTTTTTACTTATACTTTTTTACATGGTCCAGCTGCGAACATAATGGGTTGTTAATCTAATATCTATTACCCGCGATTTATTATAATATTTATTACCTGCGAGACGATTATCGTCGTTCTTATGACAAGTCACGCGTTATTCTTCTTATACGCGTTATTGTTGTCATATGAAATCCTGGATTATTTAGTTTACTCGATGTTCTCACTCACGGACAAAATTTCAAAACATTGTATCTTGCTTCAAGTCTCTATGCCATCGGTCATGATTTTTACGAGACTATAGCACACACGCGTATTGACTTAACAGGCTCACGGTGAAATGAAGGGAATACAATTTAAGAGAATAAATAACTAATGAATAAACGCAAACCAGTAATGAATTAATTAAAAACACAGTATACACAATTGCGCGACCGGAAAATTTGAAAAGCGGGCTGTCCTGGCTAAAATCTTCGCTTTTAATTTATAATTTTACCTGCCATTTCGCGCGTCGCTTTTATATATTATCCATCGAAATTCTCTTCACGTAATTATCTTTTCCTTTATTTGCATTATTTTGAGACTGACTTAGTATATAACATCGCCATCCTCTAATTATCTAAAATCTCGCAAACTATCACATTATCCCGAGATACGGGATAATAGTTATTAACACGAGCCGCGTATTAATCTCAATTAATCTATTTTATCTTGGATCAATCACGTTCACTTGTCGCGGGATAATGGTTATTAACACGAGTCGCATATTAATCTCAATTAATCTGTTCTATCTTGGATCAATCACGTTCACCTGTCGCTTGCATTTCCAAACAAGATTCCAGAAAGTTGTATTTCGCTCGAAACTTCCGCGTCATCGGTTGCGATTTCTACAAAGCTACGATACGCGCGCGTATCGTATTAATTTATCGCACTCGCAGTTAAATGAAGAATACGATTTAAGAAACTAAAAGCAATTACTGAATAACCGAAAAACATAGAATAAACAATTTGAATTGCACGACCGAAAAGTTCGCGAAGCGTATTATCCTGTTAAAAATCTTTGCCCTTAATTTATAATTTCGCCTATTATTTTGCGCTTTGCTTACGTATATTTTCCGTCAAAATGTATTCCATGTGATCTTTTTCCTTATCTCCGTCGATAGCAATTTCTACGATCACTATTCACACATTTGTTGTAATTCATTGGACTTCAAACCTAAATAAGCGGAACACAAAGCGGAACTTTCGAAACTAACAACGATTAAACGACTAAAAATATAGGATTCGAATTGTACAATAAAAAGATTCATAAAGCGCATCGTCCTGTTTCTACTTTTATTTTACAATTTAACTCGTTATTTTTCATGTCGTATACATTAAGTACATTCGTCGCTTATATATATTACATTTCGCGTTAGGTGGTGCGTGTGTAAATATTGCGACACAGAAAATAAGTAGTTTCGAAGAAATAAATCCAGTATTTATGTAACAATAATGCGTTGATATTTTTTTCTCCAAAATTCTTGTAGAAAGGAACATTTTTTTATTAATATAACTGATATGCTGAACTTCATTTTTAACTTCTTCAATTCTTTAACTTCTGCATTGCTAGCAAATCAAATTTATGATTTGTTAGATTAACTGCGCAGTAGCATTAGTAGTATATCTATTACAGAAGTGTACACGCACCGGCGTTAATGCCGTCCGTATATCCGTGTGACTCGCATACGATGACGCGTCACTCACACACTGCTGCCTGTAGGTGAAGCACAAGCAGCACGGAGTGGCGGAGGGGGCTAGCGGTATACGATCGTCGGACGCTTGGAGAGGGAATAGTGGTGGGTATCGCGGCGATCTTCTCTCCTCTATTGCAGACGTAAGAGCGAGAGACATAACATTTTAAGACGCGTAGACAGAAATATCGTCCTAAAATATGTGTGACGCACATTAAGAAAACGCTCGACTCACACTGTCGCGTCTATACGTGAGCAATATGCGGTGTCCCGATGACTGTTTCGCTCGTTCGAACGTCCATGTATTTTTTCTTGTTAGCAAGGAAATTACTGTAGTGTAAAAGGAGATCTTGGGGAAGGGTTTTCAAGAAGCTTCGACAAGTGCTTCTTAATAGCTACTCTTGAAAAAAGATATTAGATTTATTTCAATATAGAATACTGAATCAATATAGAATACTTCAACAATACAGCCCGGTCCTAAACCGGGAAATAAGATTCGATTCTTTACGGCTCAAAATTTGAGCGCCGGCGTAAAGGCTAACAAAAAAGAAAAGAAAAATGTGTACTAAATACTAACTGAAGAATTAATGAAGTCTTTCTTTTTGGTTCTAAACTGCTTAATTGCTGAACGATCTGATACTACAATTAAAAAATAATTCTGTTAATTTAACAAAATATCATTATCCGTAATAAATGATCGGTAATATAGGATATCAAAAAATTTCGTTATGAAAACAAATAATTTGTTGTTTTCAATTTATTGTACACGCACCGGCGTTAATGCCGTCCGAATATCCGTGTGACTCGC